GTACAACTCTACATTACCCACTTGGCAAAGGCATGCATACATAAACATTTGTGTCTTGCTTCTGATGTGTTTGTGAAATGGTTTGGAAGAGTTTGCAGCAATGTTTGACTTGTGATTTTTGATGTAATGGAGTGGATTTAATGCATTCACTAACAGTTTCCATTTAATCCCTCCTATGGTGAAAACCAAGTCTCTTCCATAATATCAAGTGTGTGCCCAGAAATTCATTCATTTGGGGTCAGTTTAAGTATAACACTTAGGGGCCCAATACAATTTCTGTACATTCCTAATAATATATTGCTATTCCTATTAATATTTTTGGTATTTATATAGTGCCGACAATTTACGCAGCGCTTTGCACATTCACATCAGTCCCTGCCCTCAATGAGCTTACAATCCAAGGTCCCTATCTCACATCCATACATACAAGGAACAATTTAGACAGGAGCCAATTAACTTTCCAGGATGTCTTTGGAGTGTGGGAGTACCCAGAGGTACCGGAGTACCAAGAGGAAACCCACGCAAGCACAAAGAGAACATGCTAACTCTTTGTAGTTAGTGTCCTCACCGGGATTTGAACTTGGGACCCTCAGTGCTGCAAGGCAAAAGTGCTAACCTAACATGTCATGTCCATAATATGGAATGGACTACTGGAAAATAACTAAATCTCCCATGTACTACCAACTGGTCCAGTGAACATATTTCTTGGGAGCCTCCTCTCACAGCCCACCCCGGGCCTCCAGGTATAGAAATCTGGCCTACCAGTTAAAGTGTTAGCGAGTGTAAATTTTGTTTCTATCACAGTTAATAATAAAGTACACAGACTGTACTGCACTATTTGGCAGTCATTACCTCCTGAAAATGAGTTTTGTTTATTTTTCTTGATCATGACTTACCATGGGCGCTTCCTACTATTACATCTCCAGCAGCCGAAGACATCGATGAAGATTCTGCATACAGGTATTTGGCTTTTAGCTGACCATTTTCTGTGCAAATGTTAATAGATGTACCTACCAGTTTCTCAATGTCAACTGTCTGTAATAAAAAACAAGAAGAGATGATGCGTGGACCTATATGGGTTGGACTTGATGGACATATGTCTTTATTCAACCCCAAATACTATGTAACCATGTAAGAACGTAAACAACATTTAATGCATTTTAAAGCAGAAATCCAATCATACAGCTAAATATATACTTGGAATTAGGATAGAAACGGTTTAACCAGTTAAAAATGTGTAATTATGTTTTGCCATACTAAACATCTGGCCTCCTATTTTATTCACCCCCTCTAAATTACCCAGCCACAGAGTGATACCTTTATTTAGAGCTTGCCTTTTCCTGTGATACCTGCCTCTTTGCCCTGGACTATCAATGACCATTGCAAGGTCCTGCCTTGCATCCGCTCCCTGCAAGATCTCCTAAAATCCCCTCCCAGCCGGTCTGTACAATGTCACCTACATTCCAGGCTCACCTTTGCCGTCTGGGACATCACTTGCGGCTGTCAGTATGGTGAGCATAGAGGAGGCCAGAAACATGAGGATCACAACATTGCCAAGGCCTCCTCTTACCCGAGAGGCAGGGGAGAGTAAAGGGAGAAATGAATGGATAAATCATCCATTTAATTAGGGCTGCAACTAATGATTATTTTCATAAGTTGGCTGATTCTTTTAACGATTGATTGGATAAAAAAAATTTAATAAATACCATCCTTCATTTAAAATAAAATACACAAATGCAGTGTTACAAAGTCTACTTCAGAATAAGCCAGCATGCACAATTTTTTGCAATCGCATTGCACTGGAACGCACGGCATAGCGGTACCGTGCGTTCCAGTGCAGGCGATCACGCGGTGGGTGCCATTGAAATTAATGGCACTGCAAAGCACCACAATAGTAATTGTATTGTAAGCACATGGCGCTTCAATAGCTTCATCCAAGGAATGACAGCTGCCAGTGGCAAGATTCCGCAGAAGGCAGCTGAATGTAAATACACAGGTAGTGGGCTGGTGCAATAGCCAGCCTGCTATTGGCCATTTTCAAATTGCAATAGCCAATAGCAGGCTGGCTATGGCACCCACCCACTGCTTGTTGTGCCCTCCTCCCAGCATTGAGGAGAGAGCTAGGGGATCCAACCAACTAATCGATAATGAGAATACTAGACAACTATTCTCATTATCGATTAATCATTTAGTTGGTTGCAACCCTACATTCACTGCTTCTTAGTAAAAAAAACAAGCTGCAGCAGCAAAATAAAATTAAAAAAAAAGTGTAATAAATGTAACCCTTTTGACCCCCCTTTCCAGCTTTCTGCATTCTGTCTCTGCGCTGACCTGTATATTAACCCTTTCACCTCCCTTATTCTACACATCTATACATTAACCCCTTTATCTCCATCCTTTCACTGTATGTGATCTGTAAATTAACTCCTTCACCCCCTCCCTACTCTGTCTAAGACTTGTACATTTATTGCATCTTGTGCACAATTACCAAGCTCCATGTTTTAACCCCCTAAAAATATCAGATCACCTTGGAGAGTCTACTTTCCAAAAAGGGGCCATTTCAGGGGTTTCCCTACTATCCTGACATTTTTATTTCCTGTGATTTATAAACAAAAGTAAGAGAAACAGGCTTTTTTTCATTTTTTTTTTTTTATTCTTATATAGTGAACAATTTGAAAAAGATCAGTTATTAAATTCCACTAAAAGAAAGCTCTATTTGTCACCACAAAATGATATAAAATTCATTTTGTTACAGTGTTGTGTGACGTAGGAACGCTCAGCCAAACTTGCACAGCGCTGAAAAATGTCCTGGTAATGAAGAGGATACAACATGCCCCAACTGAAGTGGTTAAACCGCAAACTGGAATATCTAGAAGTGCATTCAATTCATCTGCTGGCAATCAGCCATCCAGTATCACATTTATTGCTGTCTTTTATACTGCCAGGAGGTATGAGTGCTTCATTCATATAACTATAATACACAACAACAATGATTATCAAACATTTTATCCAATAAATTTCACCCCCAAAAAATAAAGCGACATGAGTTTAACAAAATAATAAAATCCAGGGAGAAGAAAACATAATGTACGCCTATTGCTATTTTTACCGAGGGTACTGCAGCTTAGAGGTTGCCCTTCTGACCAGTTCACAGGATCCTTTTCCAGAAAAGAAAATGTTTTCCAAAGACAGCACAGAGATCTCATTGCCAAAACATTCCTTTCACCAGATTGGGTGCCAGTGGGAAAATTACTTTGCAATCTAGTGGTTATTTTTAGGGTGAAGTCATACGCTGCAGCTATTAATAACAGCCTATAATTGCAGAGGTTTTGGCAGATACATGTTCTTTAATTTTCAATAATATATTCCCTGAACTAATTTTTCCATTAACACCACAAGGATGCATACACTTTGATCAGGAAACGGCATCATTGATGAAATGTAAAGTTCGAAAAACTTAAAACTTCAAACAGCCTTCGACCCCGTGTCATGTTCTCTGCCGTGACTATTCAAGTGGGTTTGTAAGGGGGAAGGGTAAGTTCCGGGACACAAGTCATGTACAGAATACATTATTATAACCATATGACTAGCAAGCTTTCATGTGAAATAAAGTGCAGAACTACTATCACATTGCTGCTACACAGTAACAGGAAGGAAAGCTCATTGCAATGTACATAGAACAACAAAAAATGTCTTCTAATGTCAACATGTACCATGAAAAATATTTATGTGTACACTCTCTCTGTTCTTATGACGGGCCGAGATTTCTTTTTGTTTTCCAACACTGTAGAAACAACAAAAGGAAGCTGACTGCTAATAAAAATGTTTAAATACTGCACAGAACTAATGACAACAGTCAGCACCCATAGAGATATTAGGGACCCAAAAACAATTCAATAGTCAGTAATGTTTTTGACTCGGGGAAACCCTACAAGTGCAGAGAACACACAACATCCATACAGAGCGCCCTGCTGGAATCTGAACTCAGGACACAAGTGCTGCACACCAGGCCTGCTAATCACTGACACTATACCTGTCCCTTTTAGATAATAGGACAAAGCAATAATGGACATGTACATATAGGAATGAAGCAAGTATACAGTAAATACATGTGCTTTCAGGATCTGTGAATGCAGAAACTACAAGTCCCGTCAGCCACTGCGGCAGAGGGATTTGTAGTTTCAATGAAATACAGGTGTGGTGATGTGACCGCACTTTAAGTCCACTGACACTTCCTGCCGTCCCCGTTACCGCATGTCCGTGCCTCAAAACAGACCTGGACGGGAACAGTCTGCAGGAGCCAGAGCACTGAACCTGCGACATTATCTTTCTCTATCACCAAAAGGCTGACAACATCTTTTCTCATCCAGGGTCAGGATCTTCCTGGGAGAAGATGCTGGCCCAGGAATGACACAGTAATGTAAATCCCTGTGTTTGAGCAGCACCCTTTATGTTCTGGTCTGTCTCCCATACATCACCTCCCACTTCTGTCTCTCCATCTGTGATCAGCCTGTGAAAACAATTAGCACGCACACAGCTCAATCCCTCTCCGATCTATCATCCTGTGACCTGAGAATGTAAAAATCACACGCGCACAGCTCGGTCCCCCTCCGGCCTCTCATCCTGTGACCTGCAAATGTAAAAATCTATCACACTCACACAGCTCAGTCCCTCTGCAACCTTTTACCCAGTGAGATGCCAGTGCACAAATCCATCACAGTCATACAGCTAAGTCACTCACCCTATGAGCTGCCAGTGTAAATATCCATCACACTCACCCTATGAGCTGCCAGTGTAAATATCCATCACACTCACCCTATGAGCTGCCAATGTAAATATCCATCACAGTCACACAGCTAAGTCACTCACCCTATGAGCTGCCAGTGTAAATATCCATCACACTCACCCTATGAGCTGCCAGTGTAAATATCCATCAGATTAAATCAAATTATCGTGACCAGATCCTGAATATAAGGTACCACACCCCTAATAAATCGAATTAACATGGAAAAGAAAGAATGGGGCTTTTAAGGTACAAAGTGACAAAACCAAGCAATTACAACATGATTAAACAAGGATTCTTTATTATACAAAGGTTAAAACTGTTTAAAAACATAATTGATATGTGTACATTTCAGAAAGGGAAAAACAAACTGATCTCCAAATGAACTATTCCAGAATTATAATATGAGGCTAGGTGACCATTACATACAAAATTGATGTAACATATTGTTGTACTCATACAGCACATAGGTGCCTCTTCTTATATCATGAATAGTCATTCTCTCTCAACGCATTTTGCGCTTCCTCAGGAGATAAAAGGAGATCGCTCACAGAGAGTAAGCCAAGCCAGCAGAGCAAGAGCCCAAGATATCCATCACAGTCATACAGTTCAGTCACTCTTGTAACTCGCCCTATGAGTTGCCAGTGTAAATATCCATCAAAGTCATACAGCTAAGTCACTCTCTTGTAACTCGCCCTATGAGCTGCTCTGTGACAATACAAAAATCCAAACGCCTCTTAGTTTGTGACCTCCCACAACACTAATCTGATCACTTGGGGAGTAAATGGTTCTTCCTGTCGGCAAAACATCACTAGCCCACTTTGTGTTCTTAGGTAAACACTGAGAAACGGTGCATATGAACAGTACATTGACTGCAGCTGAATTATTGTTTTTTGGAGGGTTTTTTTATATAGGTATAGTTTTGCTTAAAAAAAATAATACTTTTGCTTCATGCAGAAGTGACATTGTGACATGCAGACTGGTGAAATTACAGATAGGTCTCTGCTGCCTCAATGATAAATAAATCTAAAATAAATCATTTCATGAATTTGCTGGGTAGAAATAATTTCTTGTTCCCGTTAGTTCTTTCTTATAACTTTATGAATCAGCACCGAATTGAAAAAAAAAAAAGCAAGAAAAGCTTCTAGAGTGCACCATCTGGTGGTAGAAGACATAAATACATGTACCCAAATCCCAGCATCAATTACACTGCTGTAGATGGCCAACTCATTCAAAACCACTGCATGCATAT